CTTTATCAAGAGTCTCAGCTTCTACCACGACAAAGCTGTTCAGTGTTTCCTCTGGTATAGACACACATCCAGATTTATCTAAGACCTTATTACTTATGGAGGATAAAATATTCCGTCTGATGGTGTCTACCTTCCCTTTGAAGTGGGCTGCAAACTCCTCACAGAGTGCATTTGAGGGTGTTTTCTGAGGTGAATTGGATGTACGGTTTAAAATGTTGTTTATGGTGGAAAAAAGTATTCTGGGATTGTGTTTATTGTCTAGAATGAGTTTGGAAAGGTATGCATTACTTTAATTTCTCACTGTGTTATTATATGATTTAAGTAGCTCTGTATATATTTGATGATTTATAGTTGTTTTGTTCTTTCTCAATCTCCGCTCTGCAACCCTGCAATTTCTCTTTAGTTACTTTAGATTTTCATTTCTCCACAGTGAAGCACGTTATGAATATAGACTTTTGATTTTAAGTGGAGCGAGCAGGTCGAGAGCGGATTTCAGTCTACTGTTAAAATCATTGACAGTAAAATCACAGGAGGCAGTTACTGGAGTGGGAGGGATCTTTCTAAAAACTTCAAGAAAACCTGCAGCCACTTTGGGGTGAGATGACGCTCCCTTACAGTTCTCACAGAGGGTTCCAGCTGGATAAAACTGGTGATGCTAAAAAGTACGCAGTAGTGATCAGAGATAGCCTTATCAATAACAGAGGACACACTGGTGGACAGGCCATACGTGACGACCAAGTCCAGGGTGTGTCCTCTGTTGTGAGTTGGCTGTGTGACATGTTGAGTAAAATCCATATAACTCAGAATATTTAAAAACTCCTTTGAAAAAGGATCAGATGGATTATCTATATGTAAATTAAAATCACCGGCTAAAATGATCCTTTCAAAGGAGTTGTGAAGGATTGATAAAAACTCTGAAAATTCTTGAATAAAAATGGCACTCTGCTTAGGAGGCCGATAAACTGTGACACATAAAATCTGAGGAGAGCTAAAAACTGCTGCTGCATATTCAAAAGTGGTAAAATGATCAAATAAAACTGGTTTGGCAGAAAGTATTGATGAGCTAATAAAAGCAGTACCGCCTCCCCTTTTGCTACTCCTCGTTGAAAAATTAAAATAAAAATCTGACGGAGAAGCCTCTGTGAGAACAACAGGTGCATCTGAACTCAGCCATGTTTCTGTTAAAAGCAGACAGTGAAGATTACGATCTAAAATCAGGTCATTTATTAAAAACGTTTTGTTCAGCAGAGAACGAACATTTAAAAGAGCCATATTAATAGTAACTGGTGAAGGAGTGACTGTATTAACTGAAGGTTGGACTTTTGGATTATTGGGGTTGCTTTTGTTTGGTTTATGACTGTTTGTCTGCTCTCTGCTGATAATAACAGGTATGAATGAGGTATGGCAAGGTCCAAGTCCGATATGTGATTTACTGTTAAATTCAGGGCTGGGTTGGTAGGAGCAGGGACCAGCTACACATCAGGAAGTGGGAGCAGATGAGGCCGGTGGAGTAGACAGGGGGGGTTGTGGACAAGCCAGGCTCATGGTTAGAGTACGGGTCCCCTGTCTATTTAGATGAAGCCCATCTGCTCCAAACAGGTGTCTCCTGCCCCAGAAAATGTTAAAATTGTCTATAAAACCAACATTATGGATCACGGTGGCAGAGGAAAGCCAGGTGTTTAATGACAAAAGTCTGCTAAAATGGCTGATTCCTCTGCCCATGGTGGGAGTGGGGCCAGAGATAAAAACAGACAGGTGCATTGTTCTTAAAAGATTAAAAAGGTGAATAAAATCACGCTTGAGGAGCTCTGACTGCTGCTTACGGGTGTCATTGGTACCGGCGTGGATGATGAACTCACTGTTGTGTGTTTCTGGATGATGTCTGGGATGTGTCCTGCAATGTCCAACACTGTAGCTCCGGGGTAACAGAAGGTCAGGGCTCCTCTCATCCTGACATTACGGATGATGGAGTCCCCAACGATGAGTGTGGTTGGTGGCGGTGGCGGTGGTGGTAGTGTGGGTGTGTTAGTTGGTTGAAGCTGGGCAGAGGACCCTTCTGGGGCCTGCTGAGTGATGGGTTGAGCCCCCCCAGGGCTGCAGCAACGAGAATTCAGCAAGAGATACAAGAGATAACATGGTCATAAACCAGGTACTGGTAGCTTTGGCACTGTGTGCAGGTGCCAAGTCATCTTGGGAAATGAAATCTGCATCTCCATAAAGTTGGTCAGCAGCAGGAAGCATGAAGTGCTCTTAACTCAAACCCGGCTGTTGCTACCTGAATGCAAACTTTTTCTATGTTAAATATTTTGTCTCAGAAATAACTTTATGGAGTTTTGATGAACAAGAAATCTCACAGAACATGTTTATTTGTAATTTTTAATACTTTTTCTTTAATGATTACACAGATCCTTGAGTTGAGTAACAGAAAGCTGAAGATCCAACTCCAACCATCTCGACAATGTTCAAAAACAGGTAAAGAGAGTTTTGTCCAGAAAACCTTTAATCATTAATAGAATTAGTAGTATGACATGTTTCAATAAATATTTAGATATATACAGATACAGCAGGAACGGTACATTCTTTTTTTCTTTTTAAATTGCTTCACATTTTTTGTACAAGCCAAAATATCTGCCATTTTATTCATATTCATGCAAAATATTGTTTCTCGGATTAATGAAAAATAAAATTAATTTGCTGAACATTTTTCATCTTGCCTTGATGTGCACTTTCAGATTATAAGCGTCGGAAATCCGCAAAAGAAACAGGTGCACTTTGTGCCAACACACAATAGAAGCAAGTAAAGCAAAAAAAAAAATTAAGGCCATTCCAACTTTTGCAAAGAAGATCAATAAATAATAACAATATTAATTATTATTCCTTTAGTTCACAGCAGTTCGGGGTTCATCGTGTTTTCCTCCTTCTTCTGGGCATCAGATTGCACATTACATACAGCAAAATACAAGGGAAACAAACAAAACCTCAGAAATAAACCATTCATCAAAATATCAAATCATGCTACTTTAAAATCCATTTCAGATTCAGAAATGAAGGTTTCAAAACTCCCCTTTTCTTGTTTATTTCAGTCCATCGGCATCATATCATAACGCAACAGAACCGAGCAGCCATCTTGTACTGTGATGCCCTCTCTACCCCAAACACATATATTTAACCAGTGATTAATACAATGAAATGAGGCCGATGACAACGCTATACAGTGATTATGATAAACACATGGACCCACGCCAGAAAACGGTCATGAATCATGTAAAAATGGTGGCTGAATGAATGCATGATATGCTTGTAGGTCTTTGTTTTCGTTTGCATATTCAACCTCCATATGGCACAAGAAGATATGTAGGGGAATGGATGACTGCTGTTGGCTCGAGGACAGAAGTGCTTCTAGTTTCAGTGTTTGTGACACAGTAGGAAAAACAAGTCATCATAATTAGACTGAGCCTGCTCAGGTTCAAGCTGCGATCAGAGAGAAGGAGGCTTCGATAGGAACAGGGAGACCGGGAGGTGGTGAGGTTCGCTTTTACGAGCTCCACATGGAAACAGAATCTAGCCCAGTTTATTTCTCAGCGGCCATTTCTTCAGACATTTAAAATAACATTATGAGACTTTTTATTAGCCCACGACAGTATACAGCTCTGCAGAGACTTAGCATGGTTCCATTTGACTTTCCAACAGGTCCAGTTGGCGTTTTTAAACTTTTGCCTTAAAGCTCATTTTTCTGGAGGTAGAAAAGTTTCAAACATATTGTTTTGGGAACTTTGTGTTTTCAGGTGTCAGCATCACATGCTGTAAAACTCACTTTAAACCAACAAATGGGTCCGGAGCACAGCCACAGCTGCAGCTCACCGCTCCCCACAGGGATGGGTCAAATGTGGAGATACACTTTCACCAGTGTGTGATGAGGACTAATGTGACTTTAAATACAACAAATAAATGTGACTTTTTACATAGATAAATAACATAATTGAATCTCTGAGTCTATTTTTGACTTCAACTAATAAATAATGATGATGATGATCATGATGATTAAATAATAAAAATAAATAAACAAAACAAAAGAGGGAAATTTAAAAGGGGAAGCGCTAGGGGTTTTAGACATGCAAAATAAAAATGCTTTTCAAATATTTCAGGATTTTCACTGTAAATGGTGGCAGACGAGATCAACTCAAGTACCTTGGAAGGAAGTTTATTTTTCTCTGGAAACATTTGCAGCTGATTGTTCCAAAAAGAAAAGTAGACATATAAATCTTAACCACGAGCATACTCTTATGTAAAAGCTATGTTTATACCTTGGTTCTGCAAAAAAAAAAAAAAAAAAAAGGAAGAAAATTAAATTGAACATGTAAAGTTTGGGCTTTGACTTCACAAGTCCAACAAGCACAACTTAGTTTGTCTCAAAGATACCATGTATGCTACATTATGTAAACAGCATCGATGTGGGCTTTCAACAGGTTAACAGGCTGTTTTTTAATCTAGCTTTTGTGACTAAATATGTAAGCTATACCTAGAAAACTATCTTTATTAGAGCAATATAATCAGGTTTTTCACACTGTGTATTGCAGCATAAGCAACATGTTTCAAGCTGATATAATTCTAAACATTTTAGGAATTAGAGTTTAATCTGTTAATTTGTCCTTTTTAGCTCCAGATTTTGGTAAAAGTTGATTAAAACAAAACTTAACACAAATGTTACATTTGTTTTATCGAATTCTGTCCATTCTTCTATTTTTAACAATAAGTCGGTGTGTTCTAAGCAAGTGATAAAAAAATCAATGTCAAAATATAATGGCCTAATTGGGCAGGAACTTCTCAATATAATGGCTCAGCTGTTGGGTGGTGCAGATTTTATGGCACCTTCATCTCAAAAGCATCAGAATTTTGATGAGTTAAATTAAAAACACACATTGTCATGCTGCAATACAACTTAAAACTGTCCACATGAAAGTGTCTCACATTTGGATAAAAAAACTCCAAGAATGTGTGTTTCACAGGTTAGACCGTCCTGGGTGTTATACAGTTTGAAATGGTACCAGTCGTATGAGTCCTAGATACATATGCCGTGTAATGGGAGCAGCAAGTCCAGTTTGTACTGGTTTCCTGCTCTACACAGCACATGAGCTCCAAAGGAGCTGGTACTGTAACAACACAGTGGGTGGACACCTTAGCATAACATGTAACATTTATATGTTCATATTAATAATGACTATATTAATAATAATAACACACATTCGTAGTATTTCCGGCTTTTCCTGGATGATATATATAGTCATTCCTTTGAACAGCTGAATGCTATAATATGCTTGCTGGGTAAATAAACATACAAACTGCATGATTTAAAATGGAAAGGACAGCATTGAGATGCTGTAATATATCTTATTATATCTTTCACAAGAGAAAGTAGACCAAAAACTTTCTATCAATTTCTGCATTATGAAAATAAAACCTCTTTGGGGTAATTTGAGTAGGAGATAAATGAGCAAAATATTAAACGACTTGTGCAAAAACTGGAAAATAATCTCAACAACGAGCCAAATTGCTGAACTTTAGTTCTATCATCTGATTGGCGTAATTTGGCTCAACTTGCTTCTTGCCGATTGCTTTCTACAAAACAGAGTTTCATGCAGTATCCTGCATGCCTCGGGACCAAAGTGCCTCAATAGGTTTCTACCTTAAACATTCTAACACATAATCACATTTGACTTTAGAAGTAGCAGTTTGATGAAAGAAGCAAAGCTCTCTGAAGGGTACTGCTGGAGATGGAAGAGCTCTGAAGTGATAAAAATCAAAATTGCATATACTGATTATTGCATAGAAAAGCCTGGTGCAAAGCAAAAACATCGATCGCATCATCCTGTTAGACTGATCGATACTCGTGCAACACAACTACAGAAATCCTGTCATTGAACTCTGACTGGGTGGTGGTGGTTCAGGATGTTTGCAGCTACAGTTGGTGTTTGTGAGTGAGATGGAAGTACATTTATTTAGGATGTAACAGTTGTTGTAAATCTGCATAATTTAAAGTATTTGTTGTCTCAGATGGGAACAGGATGGGTTGAATTTTCAGCATCGCACTGAGGCAGGGTCAAAGCAAGGAAGTGCTGCTAAAATTTAAACATGTTTAAATTTCAGAAAACACAGCGACGAAAAACGGGTGAAGAACTCCATCAAGGATCGAGATGGTCTTTCTTCTGCTGATGGCATCAAATGAAGGATTTCAGTCATCTAAAGAATAAAACACCCGCTCCCCTTCCCCAGATGAAACCCTGAAGTGGAGTGCAGCCACATCATTTAATTGGCACATGAGTTAATTATAGTACATAAAAATAATCATTTAAGGACTGTCGAGATGTTGATCAGAGATTTCTCAGCACTGCGTGTCCAGTCATTTCGTCTTTTTTCGTACTTGTCAAGCGGCAGCGACAGACTTCAAGTGTCTGCAGTTCTTGTTGGCAGCAGGGGGGGGGGGAGGAGCTTCGACAAGTACTTGCAATACATCTTTGAAGCAAATCTAGATATATAGAATGTGATCTTTGCATCAATTCATTAAGTGGAAGCCCTGACACGCCTTCCTTCCTTTTTTCTTTTTTGTTTTTAGTGAAACATCCTTCGTTCCAGAGGCCCACCTTTGGAAATAAAGTTTATAAATTTTCCAAATATGATAAATATGAGTATAATACACTGCAGTATCCCTCTTGCACATCCCCAACCCTCCACCCACACCTCATGTGTTCATATAGAATAATATATCTGTCTTCACACACAAAAGAAAAGCTCAAATCAAATACATCATCTCCTCTTGTTTCAGTTCCTTCACTCCCAAACAGTTTGTCGTGTTTGCCTGTGAAAGTTTGTGGTTTCGCTGTTCCTCTTTAATATATTGCCACATTCATATATCATGCATTTAAATGCATTGCTATTGCACTGGTCCAGAATTTTCTGGGATCCAGGGGTGGTGGGGGCAATAAATGCAAACAATAGGATCGGATGGATCTTTTTTTTTGAGGGGGTTAAAAAGCAGCAAAAAAGGGAAAAGGTGAAGGAAGAGGGACAAGTTAAATGGTTGGAAAAGAGGGCAATGTCTGCTACCGAAGTCATATTTGTGGTTTTTTGTTTTGTTTTGTTTAGCTGAATTCTTAGTTCCGCATCCCTTTCATCCTCCCCCTCTCCACTACTGCTTGTGGACGTCCTCACTGCGGATGATTTTGTAAATGATCCAGTAGAAAATGTTAAAAATGAGGAAGACAAGCGGGAAGGCCACACGAGACACCGTGTCAATGCGCTTGGCCCGACTGATGAACAGCTTCTTCATCTCCTCGATGCTCTTCTCGGGCGCGGCCGAGGTCGGAGCGTTGTTGTTGTTACCCTTGATGGCCATGCCGTCCTTAGCCTGCAGGCAGGCGGGGCCCATGCCATAGCCGGGGAAGTTGAAGCGCCCATCGCCCTGGTCCTCCTCCTGCAACATAGGCCAAGACCCAGACAGTTAGGAACCAGAGAAAAAACATCAGCTTTGGAGGTGTGGGTAGAAAATATGTGCAGGCTCCTAGGCGTCTTTGACAAATTGAAAAAAAAAATAAAAATAAATACAGCTGAAACAAACAAAACAAATAAATGAATGAATGAATAAGGACATTGTTTCATTTTGTAAGTGTGTGTTTGATTTAAAAATGAAATTTTAAAGAGATCCTAGAACATTTTTATTTTTGGAAATTGTTCTTTGAACCTCTATAAATCATTTGCAACTTTGCTGGAGTCTACAGTGACCTGGGAGCTCTAATGAATGGCCAAACACAACCCTGTTTTAAAGTTGTGTAAAAGAATGACCCGCCCACTCTGCCTGGACATGAATATTAAATTAGCTGCATGCTGATTGGTCGGTTTACCTCAATGGCTTTGACCGCCTAAAGCTAGAAACGCTGTGCACAGTCATGTGCAGGATCTGGATAATGGAATGGTCAAACTATGGATCTATCTAGAATGTTTTCATAACCTGAAACTTTGGAGCTCTAATATGTTTTAAGAAAACAGCAGCAGTCTTTGGTCTTGAATACACTTAGACTAGCTACACCAGTCTTGAAATAAGATGTCTGTATTTCTCCAATCAGAAGCTGTTTAGAAAGCTATCAACAGTAGAGTAGGAATTATAATTTTTACACAAAACGGACTCAAAATGACTAAAATAATCTATCAAAACCGTTACGATAACAAGGGATTACATGAACAGTAACCAAGACAAAACAATAAAAGGTAGGTACTGTAAAATTTAGCCAGTGGTTATAAAAATAAATAAAATTCACCCACAAATGTTTAAAGTGTCACTAATGGTGTTAAAGGGGCAAAAACATCCACACTAAGACGTCAGCTGCAGTCACGTCACACTGGAAGCAGAACGTTTGTTGACGGTTGATGATCGGACCGACAGACGTGACCTGATCTGAACGTGATGAACAAGTGTGTGGCGTTTTCACCCAAAGGATGCAAGATCCTGAACATCTTATCTGCATTGTCACCCTGTCTTTTCATTAAAGCAGAGAAACATTGACTTTGTTATCTGGTTGCAAGTCTCCAATACAAACATGGACACGATCCGTGTGTGGAAACTTAAACAGGAAAATCATCCCGACAGGATCTTTAAAAGAAGATTAAACAATGTATTAAGAAGAAGAAAGAAAAGAAAACACAGATGACTCAATGTTATGTTTGACTGGAATCTGAATTTTTAGGTTAAAGATGGAAATTAAAGCAGGGTTGCTAGTTGTTTTGCTTTCTGAGTCACTTTGGGGAATGCTTGCAGAAGCATGTTTGGAGCAAATCGTTTAATTTTCCATTGGATGGGAAAAATAAGTATTTTATGATCAGAATACAAGCAAAAATGTAACCTCAATCAGGAGGAAATGCTAGCAGCAAGAGGGCTTAAGTGATGCAGAACCTCTGCAGTATCAACAAATCAACACGAAAAAAAAACGACAGGTGGAAGCTCTGGTGAAGCATCCCTCTAACAACCAGAAACACTCAAAACAATCAAACAGCTGCAGTTTTTTAAATATTGATTTAAAAAAATCACAAAAATTAAGACTTTTCAAACCAAATTAGACAAAATAAGAAGGTCTCACATTAGTGTGTGTGATGATAAGAGGCACTTTTAAATGCATTTGTAGATATGTGCATGTACAGGTATGTGTGTTGAACCACAAGGTTCATTTTTAGCTGCCCATGTCCCGGTTCTGTCCTTACATCCACACCAAGCCATCTATTACTGTTCACACACACACACACACACACACACACACACACACACACACACACACACACACACACACACACACACACACACACACACACACACACACACACACACACACACACACACACACACACACACACACACACACACACACACACACACACACACACACACACACACACACACACACACACACACACACTACACTGTATGCAGGGTGTCTACGCATTAGCTGCGATGCTAGCCGACCTCTGCCCGTCCTTCAGTGACGCTGCTAAACTATTACGGATGCTCTGCTTTATTCTCCCTGCCATGTGATTAATGTGGAGGGTGGAGAGACGTGAGGAGGAGGCAAAATGAGAAGAACTGAAGAAAGAAAAAGAAGAATGAAAAGAGGAGAGGAAGAACAATAAGATGGGTGGGGGTGGGGGGTGGAAGGAGGAAGCCTGCAGATGCTGCTCAAGGAGAAATAAGCACTTTTGCAAAGGCAGAGGAACATAGAGATGGTTCCGGTGATCTAATAGAGGTCTGATCATGATTTTTACCTCCATCGGAATAGACAGAATTCCAAAAAGGATGGATATACGCAATCAAACATCTCACCATGTCCACAAAGAAGCAAGATGAGTTCAGAAGGGTAATCTAGTTTAGATAAATAGTGTGTAATGAAATCATTGGTCTAATTTAGGTGAAGTGCATGTTAGTCACAGCTACATCTGTAATTAAGCCCATCAGTACTTTGAATGTGACAGCATGGCCCGGCTCCAGGACCTTCTTGGTCTTCTGGGTTGAAAAATGAAGCCAGAAATGCTTTAAACAAGAGGAGCCTTGGTGGAGGACTGGGTCGGGTGAATCAAAGACAAACAGATATGAGTTCAAATAGAGACATCTGGTTCAATCTTAAAGGCGAATGTGAAAAAGGAATGCCTGCCTGAGCAAACATTAAACTTTACGTCACACATTGCTCAGTCTGACCATTTTCAATACAAATAAGTAAAAGGAGAAAGAGGATTGAGCAGAACCTCTTTGCTCACTCATCCATCACACTTTCAGCTCATGATTGAAGCATTTGTATTTCTGCTGCTGCTGCTGATGTGATTAATCAAACTGATCAGCATGAAGCAGAGAGCAAATGTTGTTAGGAATGCTGCTCCACATCCTCTCCTCTGTGAATGTTATCCTTGGATAGTTGTTGTAGAGATCTGCATTTGCATAAAACACGACTCAGAAGATGTGTCAGACCCACCTAATGCTGGTCCCTCCTGAAGGAGGAGGGATTTCTTGGCTGCTTCGTGATTTCCCCTCGGAAAAGTGATTTCCAGACGAGTAGCAAAAACAGGAATATATTCTAAATTTGCCTTTTCTGATATATTTTCTGGCAAATTCATCTCACACTGCCCCCCCCCCCCCCCCCCCCCCACTGCCTCTTGGCTCGATTAAGGCCGATCGAGGCTTTTTAGGGTGATTCACTGGTATGTCAGCAGTAAGTGGATTCTGTGCTGCTGACAGGAATGTTTAACCAACAGGAGTTTGAAAAGCTTCTATTTTTGTTTGCAGGTTTTAGTTTATATTTAAAGAAACAATAGTCTTTCCTTTTGTTGAAACAGCTTACAGAATTGTGTAGTGATACCCACTTCTGTTGTTGGAATTGTAACGCGACCATGAACCTCATGCAGAATCCATCTGCACTGAGGGGATTTGGCTTTTCATCTTAGATCTGATTTTAGCTGCATTATATGTGACTCCTGCACAGACACATTTGTCCTCCTGTGAGAGTCTCCGAGTCTTTCAATTGTGACCAAGCTTTGAATTTCTGCACACATAGCTGGAATGTATTTAGCTGTAAAGAGACCTAAAATAAAATAAAAATAAAGTGTTAAAGGAATTAATGTATGTTTATTGTAATATGTTATAAAAACTGCTTTCAGAGCACCTGAAGAAGAATCTGGTCATACAGAACGTTCCTGAACTGTAAAAAAATAATAAAAAGAAAATATTTTTGTTCTCATTCTTTTGAATAAGCAGCACAAGCTGGGACTTCCCTATGGTTTCCTTCCAGTAGGAACCTTGTGAAAAAATGCCAAAGGGAGGTGACCAGGAAGCATCTTAAAGGTCAACTGAACTGAAAAAAACATTTTTAAATGATTAGTTCTGATTTTAATTGGTCACTCTGAATTTTTCATGCAGGCCGAACATAAAAATAGTCTCCTACACCTATCTCCTGCATTAGCTTCTGATAGAAAATAGACAATGAAACTCTAGGATTTGAAAATCCTGACAGATCTAAGTCACACTGTCACTTAACATTCATGGACTCACCCATCTTGACTCGTGACAGGGAAGGCTGTTGTTGGTCTGGCGTCCAGGAAATGCTCGGCTAGTAGCAGCAAACTGTTTGCATTAGCAACTCCACTACACAGCAGAACTCCTTCAGGTTTGTGTTATTTGTGGAAGTAAAACATCAACGTTGCAGAGCAAACAGAGTCAGTGGGAGAGTCATGTTGCTATATCCAACAGGGAGCACAAGTCACACCCATCTACTTCCAGACCATGGGTCCCCAGAAGAACGAAAAAAGGAATGCAAGTCAGTGTTGCTAAAAATGCTATTTTCTAATTCTGCTTGTTATGTTCCATGGATCTGTCACCTTTGGTCTTTAGCCTGGTGCGCTGCACAACCAGTAGGCTTTGGTCACTGGACCTCAGGGACCTGCTGGGGGTGTAGGGACTAAGAAGATCACCAATGTAAGATGGTGCTTGTCCATGTAAGGCCCTATAGACCAGAACCAGGATCTTGAAATGAACCCTGAAGTTGACTGGCAGCCAGTGAAGCTGGAGGAGAAGGGGGGTGATGTGGGTGTGTTTGGAGGACTTGGTCAGAAGCCGAGCACAGGCATTCTGAACCACCTGTAGACGGTTCAGGGAGGTTCTGCTCAGACACGTGAAAAGAGAGTTACAGTAGTCTAAGCGTGAGGAGATGAAGGAGTGGATAACTGTCTCAAGTTCAGAGCAGGACAGAATGGGACTCAGCTTAGCAATGTTCCTGAGATGGAAGAAGAAAGAGCGAACAAGAGAACTGACATGAGAATCCAGGGGGAGAGCTGGGTCAAAGGTCATGCCAAGATTCCTGATGGAAGGTTTGGTGTTAGAAGCAAGCTGACCAAGAGAGTCTCTGACTTTGGGAACCAGCTTGTCTGGGGCACAGATGAGGATCT